GTAAGGGAATCTTGGGATTTTTGTGATTCTTTCTAAATGAGGAAAAGCATATGCTTTATACTTCGATGATAATACAATAACTCCCCGTCCCTGCCTGGCCCTGTTTCTTTATGGATCATGGAATACGGCCTTCCTGGCCTTAGGAATTAGAGAAATAGACGGGTAGGGGACCCACTCAGCAGCAGCAGGACAGCTTTCAACAGACCGCGGAGGTCGCATCAGTGGTCTCCAGGAGCACCATCCATCACTCTCACTATAAAGCACCCTCTCCACGGTTCCCCTTTCACTTGAACTTTCTTAGAAATCCGTGTGTATGGTATACCATCAGCCCTCACACAGTCACGTGACTTTACACCCAGTGTGTCAACTGTACTCTGGGAATTCCGGATTTCAGGAGAGGACCTATTTGCTTAAAGATATTGTTTTCACACATCAGAGGAAAAATTAAATTCAATTAAAGATCTGATCGATGAAGTTACTTGGTGTATGGTCTTCGCTGGGCTTAGGCAGAACGGAGGGAGTATTTTTAGGGGACAATGGCATGTTTTCCAGCTTTTGTTTAGGTGCTTGGTGTGACTTTGCTCTCTTTAAGGAACTTGCAAAAGCTCAGTTCTATGATTTAAGAAGTGTGGCTTTGACGTTAAGCCTGGTTCTCCCACAAACCATCAGGAACTGCTTCCTCCGCAGGTGTGTGATCCCACAGGGGGCCCAGGGACTGGGTCCTTAGCAGCTCAGGAATGCTGATTTCATCTTTTAGTTCTGATTAGTTTAATGTACGAATAATCACATTATTATTAGACTGTTAAAAGGGCTATGTTTTCAAGGAGACATCCTATAAAATTGTAGAAATGGTTTGTTCCCAGTCAAGAATCTATCCTCGCTGTGTCTGGCATTTGCACAAGGTCTTCCCAGGCTGGGATGAGAGGCAATGAATCGGACAAGAAGATGCTAATCAGCAGACCCTGTCCTTCCACCCAAGTCAAGGAGCCAGGTCTTTGGAGTCTTCTCCAATTTTCTGTGCTGCCCCAAACCTGCAGTGGGCGCCTCCTGATTTTGAGCTTCTGCTGAAATGCTGAAGAATTTATGCGTGGAGCCTAGAAATCTGTAGGTGGACTTTGATCTAGTTTTCTAGAAACAGAGATCTATACCACAGCAACTTTAACGTTGCTCACTGCAGATCGCATGTGGCCAGCTCAGGGGCTGCCATGGTGGAAGGCGACATATTAGAGCGCCTGCCTCTGCGTTTCTTTGTCATTCGTGTGCAGGTGTGGGCATGGGACACCTTCCAAGAAACTTGTCATTGGACAGCTTTGTCTTTTTGCAAACCCAGATTAAGATGGCTGTGACATCACAAGGGCTGGGGCCTTGGAGAACCACTGCTGCTCACGCGGCCTGTTGTGTGGCGGTTGACTGCCTTCACCTCTCCGCCAGAACAGTCACACTGCAATCACAGTATTTGGTCAAAGGAGCCATACATTTCAATGCATCAAGCTGAATGTTTTCATTAAGTATCTTAATTGAACCAGATGTTCAACAGCGGGCAGAAAGGGTTGTGGGCACAGTGAAAGTTTATTCTGCATTTTGTCTCTAGCTTTTCTCTTTTGATCACTTCCCTCCTCTCTCTGGCCAGCTGCAAACTTCTCTCCCACCAGAAGGTAAACTCTGACCCCATGAATCCTTCTCCTTGTTGACTTCTGGGCCTAGCAGGGTGCTCAGGACAGAGAAGGTACCTAATAAGCATCCACTTCATTCACCGACCTTGTAAACAGGTCCAGTCTCCCCACCACTGTTGCTGGGTCCCGTGCACGCTAGAGTGCCTACACCACTCAAATTGTGACCCTCCTTACGTCCAAGTTGAGCATGGAGAGGGATACAGAGTACTCTTGAGGTCTCCACAGCCTACTTAACTCCTTGAAAGAACCAGTTGTTACACACCTCTGATCTCCCAGAACAGTTAGCCTAATGGCTTGCAAGGGCTTTAGCCAACTAGCTTAGAGGCCATTTGGGTTTGAAAAATATGTCAATAAGCATTTGTGTTACTTTTCAGTTTTCAGGACTAAATCAAATAAAACCATACCTGCAAGCATTGTAATAAGCTGTTAATTCAAAGTAGAATAGAGAAATAATTTCTGAGATCCCAAGAGGCTATTAATTTAGAATATTTGTATACATAAGGAATGGGAGAAGCCAGACGGTGTGATTTTCCCAGATTCTAGCCTGCAAAGAAACTTCGAATTACTCAGCAAAATTTAAAATATTCATTTCTCTTCTTTTTCCCACTTACATTTACATTTTTAGATGGCACATTTTTTTCCCAATTGTGTAAGCACATCTCCCTTCTCTCTTGATTTCAGTGTTTTTATTTTTATGGTTAACTTTTGATTCCTGACTTTCAATTCCTTTCTGAGATGACTTTCTATTTCCAAAGGCAGCCTGAGGGAGAGGGACTATAAACACAATTTTCACAATGCCTTGAGTTTAGTAAGTCAAGATGTTTACTCCATTTCTATTTTTCACGAAGATGCCATGCAGTTGAAAAACATAAGAAGTGCGTGTCTATCTGTAGGGACTTTACAGTCCCTCTGCACAGGGTACACAGAATAACCAGGGTATAGCTTTAGTAGCTGTGGCAGTTAGGGTAGAGGGTCAACTTATTGTGCTTTCGGATCCACTCAGGGGACTGGTGGAGATCATGTCTAGGTGTGTCCAGGTGGATCATGGAAGCTTGATCTTGCGTTTTGTCTGGTCCCTGCCCCTTTCTCTCTGGCACTGTGCCCCTGCTCTGCTTCCTGGCTGCCATGAGCTAGGCATCTCTGTTCCTCCACTCCCTTCCGCCATGATGTTTCTGCCTTGGAAGCAGCTCACCATGGACTGGATCCCCCGAAACCATGAGCCACACTAACCCTCTCTTCCTTTACATTGTGGATGTCAGGTATTGTGTCCTGTGACGGGAAATCTAACTAATACATACAGCATCTTATGTTCCAACACTGGGCTACTGGTATCACAGATCTCTTTATCTACACTATGTCTGTATTTGTAGCACCCAGAATAAAGGAGTGAAATAGTTGTAGATGTGCTCAGATGAATTTAGGTAAACAGTGTAGAAGTTGCAATATCTTCTTTCTGGAGTGCAAAGAATGCAAAGCTGAGATGTCGATGACCTGCCCAATAGATTGGTGACATGCGCAGAAGAGGAGTTTAGGAGGTTGACTTACACAGAGGAGGAGCTTAGGAATGCTGCTGAGCGACCTCATAAGGCTTCTTCGGAAAGGACAAAGGAATGAAGGATGAGGACAGCAAAGGGTGTGGCCTGGGTGTCCATGGTCCGGAACATGTGCACAGTCATGCGGGGCAAAAGGTCCACCCCTCCCACCCCGGCAGGGCATGTTACTGAATTTCTGAAACACCCTCACACACCACACATGCAGGAGGAGACAGGATCTCATCCAGCGGATTCTGCAGTCAGAAAGCAGGGCTCTGCATGCAGCCCTTCCCCCACACCCTGACTCCAGCCAGGCTGGGTGCTGGGCCGGAAGGCTGGAGCTTCCACCCCAAATCGCCTCCTTCTAGAGCTTAAAACAATTTCAGGGTAAATTTGTAAGTCCTCCCCAAACATCTACTTTGCACTTACAATTTGTTTTTGAACAAAAAAACCCAGCATTCTTTGTGTTAAATAAGACTGTTCAAAAATGTAGGCTTAAAGGATTTCTATCTATTGTATTTCTGCAAGAGAAAGGTAACCAGGCCTGACAGAGCCAAAGGAAGTGCTTGGGGCTCTGGAGGTGACAGTTGGGAGGAGTCACAGAATAGGTGTGAGTGAGGCGGGTGTGACCCTGGCTCAGGCCTGGGTCACGTCTAGAGCCTTAGTCCTTACACAGGGTCCCCCATGGACGCTCAAGGAACAGGGTTCGCCACACCTCACTCCAGGACTTTCGCACTGTAATGATTTTCCCTCCTCCATAAACCTCAAACCAGGCAATCCCTGACTAATTTGTGTAACAAGTTGCAAAAAGCAACAACTACAAGGCTTCACAAGCGTGTGGCTTTGGCTCTTCAGTCCCTGCCAACTGGACCACACTGTGAGGGTCATCACATGTCACATGGGGTACAGCCAGGCTGAGCCCCATGGCCCCCACAGCCTGTTTTCTCTGTCTTGGGCAGAACAGCTCAGTCCCGGGCCGGGACCCATTAGCGGGATCTTGGTGAAAGTGGATGTGTGACTGAGTGCTGGAAGGAAGAGAGAGGAATGCAGTAAGGGGCGGGCAGAGAAGAAAGGCAGAGAGAGAAGGAGGAAGAGAGGAGAAAAGAGAGGAAGGAAGAAGAGAGGAAGGGAGGTAAGAAGATGCAGCAGAGAAAAAGGAAAGATGGAAGTAAGGAAAACAGGGTGAAGGAAAAAGAAGGACAGCAGGAAGAGTGGAGAAAGGGAGCAAAGGAAGAGGGAGGGAAGACGGGGGAGAGAAGGTGAAAGGAGAGAGGTGGAGTGAGGAGGGGAGTGGGAGGGGGAGAGGGGACAGCAGCCTGGGCGGGCCCCAGAGGGCACATCCATGCCTGGGACTGGGCACAGCTGTCCCCTCCTTGGGGAGGTGAGCAGTGGGTGGCCGTCAGCAGCCCTCACACTGGAAAACTGGGTCTGCACCTCACTAGTGATGGTCCCTGCCCCTTACTTCTCTTTCTGCTTTACAGAACGCTGTCTTCCCTCCATCCGCTCTCGGCTGGCAGCAGCATCTTTCAAGAAGCAGCCCGAGGCTTTTGGTACCACCATGTTTGCAAAACCCCATGGCAAATGGGTGGTGTCACCTTCCACGCTCCTCTTACCTGGTGCCTGTCCCCCAGCTCACTCTCCTGGGATGTGTGTTGTGTCCTCAAAACATCGCTTCGTGTTGAAGAACTTTAATGAAGGAAATTAAAGTGCTCAGGGGCTGGGGATTTAGCTCAGCGGCAAAAGCGCCTGCCTGGCAAGCGCAAGGTCATGAGTTTGGTTCCCAGTACGGGAGAAAAAACAAAAAACAAACAAACAAACAAAAAAAAGTGCTCAGGCTGGAGGTGGGGCTCAGATAGAGCATTTCTCTAGCCTGCCCCAGGCCCTGGGGCAATCCCCAGCATGAAGAACCAGTAAAGACATTCCTGTGCTTTCAACCATAAAAAGTAGAGTACTCAGGAATACAACGGAGGGACAAAAGCAAAACCTGAAATCCACCTCTTCCTTCTCGACCTTAGAAACAGGCATGGCTCTGACTTGCATGTCCATGCTGCTGCGCTTGCACAGCCCTGCCCTTAGGCAGGTGCCGCCGATATCACCGCTACTCAACTGGATCTACAGAAGGCGAACCAGGCGGACGTCCCGGCGGACGTCCAAGTGAGCGTGGGCCCAAGGACAGCGGGGCGGACAAGCAGCACTGCAAGGGCATTTGTGGTGACCACTGAGAAGATGTGTGCAAGAGTGGCCTGACTTAAAAATCACTTTTAGAAAGTGCACGATTTACTCGGCCCTGGCGAAAATTCAGTGAGGACTAACCTAAGCGAGTTGCCATAACTTGGCTACCTACCTTTCTAGTGTGTTCTCCACTCATTTGGCTCCAGGGCACGGATACGTGGCCAATTCAAACTGCTGTCAGCATGAAGTGCACGCTGCCTCTCAAGACTTGGTACAGAAAAAGTAGTCTCTCGTGAACTGTTCACATTGAGTATATGTTTAAAATATTAACTTTGCGTCTTCTGGGCTGAGTAAAATTACCTCCCCCCGGGGCACTTTTCTTTCTTAATATGGCTACGAGCAAATTGAGAGACCCCTCTGCAGGTCACCTGGTACTTCTCTGGGGCAGTGCCACCCTAGAAGACAGGATTTGCAGGCTGTGCAGTGTGTTCCAGGAATGCTGCCTGGCTATCACTTATCTCTGAGCACCCTGCCCCAGACTAGGACTGTTACAGTTGCTGCCTGTCTTTGGACATACGGCCGGGGTAGGGGTGTCTGCCCAGCGTCTGCAGGAAGGGCCGTGTGAAGCATGCTTGCACACACTGGCATGGTGTGTGCATGAGGAGCAGGCTGAAGTCCAGAGAGCTTTCAGGAAACCCTCCATCAGCAATAAAAGTAGTTTCTGAAATACGAAGAATCAACTAACAAACACAACCCTGAACAGAAACATTCAGGCCCTCAGCGGCAAAATGAAATCTAAAACCTAGTGTAGAGCTGGCCTATGAGCAGTAATGTCCTATAAAACTGCGAGTAAGTGCACACTTTAGATGACAAAGGCGACTGCATTATCTTTTCGGAATCAAAGCCGCTGCACCTGCACCCTCAAATTTGCTGAGGGGCACTAGTTCCGCTCAAGGTTGCGTCAGCCACAGTGCTGAGGTAAATAAGTAGGCACACCAGGTAGCAGCTAATTGTCATTATTAAACGTTACAGCAGAAACAGAAGCCAACAGATGTGCTCTGGGGTCACTGGCAGGTTCTTATTTTTATTGCCACCAAGTTCAGCTGGAAAGTGCACAGATACTGCAAAGCAGTTGACATTCTGCCAGCTTCCAAGAATAATAGTAAAAATAATCATCAGGCTGCCTGCAGGGCTATAATAAAAGTTCCTTTCTCATTACAGCAGGATTTCACTTCTGGGGCGACAGTCCTTTATTCTGAAAACGTGAAAACCCACAGTCCCATCATGCCACCTCCTCCAGCGCTGGGACAGAGGGGTCCACCACAGATCGCACCAGGGACCACGCTGGACGTGCGGGGCTTCACAGGAACCCTTGCCCAGCGACTGCTGTGGAAATCGACGCCTGCAGCCACATCCCCTGGAGGAAGTGCTGTCTTGGCAGCAAGGGTGGTGAAGACACACTCTAGACCTGCCACCGAGTCACCCGCCCTGAACACGCTCCTGAAAGTAGGCCACCGAAGGTGAGCTCCAGCCAGCAGCAGGTGCCAGGAGCTGCTCTGGTCCTCCGTGGCAGGTCAGCCTCATGATTGTCCCCCTGGACATTCACATACTGCCAAGGCTTTATGACCCAGTGCCCCCACTGCAGGACCAGGATAGCCAAAGCAGTCTGGCCTTAGATCTGTACACACACTTCAGGGTTGTATTTAACCAGCAGGAGTCACCCAGAGATTCCTTGGAGAAAACCAAGTGAATTCCGTGATTTGGAGGATACCACAAAGCTGAGATATTTCTAGAAAATCACTGCAACTTAGTGACAAGTGAATGTGTCTTAGATGAGTCTCTCTTTGCATTGTAAAATTCCTCAAGCCAATAGAACAGAAATAGTAATGGCAGCTCATAAATATGATGTAGAAGCCTCTCCTACAAGCCAAACGAAATGCCGCCGAACATGCCACTCATTAACACAGGGTCCAGCTGCTCCACCAGCTCCGGTGCTTGATGCCCACAGTGCAGAGTGACTGGAAACCAGTTCCTGCCGGATACACTTTACTCACCCTCACTGCCCCGTGCCCTCCCGGTAGCCTCTCTCAACATCCTCTCACAGAACACAGCCACAGCTGTGCACAAACAGCCCTTCTTTCACATGACTCGGTGGCTGTCAGGACATTCAAACGGGGTGAAGTCAGGACAGACAACTCCGCTCTCAAACACCACAACCAAACCCCAACAAAAATAGCCCTAACTTGTAGCACTGGCCAATGTCCGTGGGGTAACTACTTTCAACCGCTATGGACGTCCAACTCCCCAAAGCTTGGCTGCAGCCAGGGAGAAGAGTGAATTTGCAGCGGGCGCTGGAGGATTCCCACTGCCTGTGGTTAACACACTGCTTTGGGTTCCCTAAGTTCCTGTGACCCCACAAATCCTAACAGGCCGAGGGCTTTCAAGTCCCAAGCCGATCTGTGGTACTTTGGGAAACGGAGATCCCGTTAAGACCTAGAGAAGAACTGGGCTTGTCTCCTGGAGGGCAGAAGTGAGACCTGAGCAGGTAGTGTGGGCAGCGAGGGGCTCAGCCAGGGTGCCGATCGCGCCCTTCCCCTGAGTCTGCCTGCCTCTCTCCCGGCCCCGTGGAAGCTTCAGACTCTGCTCTGCCCTCTGTGTCAGCCTCTCTCCCTTTGCATAAAAGGAGGGGAAGCTTTTTTTTCTGGGTTATATTTATACTTCCCAAATCAGAAAATGTCCTAACCAGATAGGACGACAGGTGGCAAACTGGCAACCACAGCTTAAAACATTTTCTTTCCATTTCTTTCTGAAACCCCACATCGAAGGAAAGTTAACGAAATGTCGGCTGTTGCTTTACACACAGAGCTAACAGCTCTTTCAACATGGAGAGACAGAGCCGAAAATACAATAGGGACCCAAAGCTGAAATCAGAAAACAGTGTTTATCCACTGATTCTGGAGATCGCAATTTTCATCTTAGATCTTATTCCGCTGAGTAAACTGGGGAAGTGCAATGGGATCCTGAATGTGAGTAGTCAGAATAAAGTGAAGATAAGATTGATAGTCTTTCTTCTTCTTTCTTCGTCTCTCTCTCTCTCTCTCTCTCTCTCTCTCTCTCTCTCTGTCTTTCTCTCTCTGGCAGCAGGAGTTGAATCCAGGGCCCTCACACTAAGCTGCATCTCCAGGCCCTTGTTTTTATTTAATTTTGAGACAATATCTCACTACGTTGCCTGGGCTAGGCTGCAACTTGCACTCCTTCTGCTTCAGCCTCCCAAAGCACAGATGTAAAGCCATGCCCAGCTGGTTTCTGTTGATCAGAAATAAAACATTTTCCATAGCTAACCTATACCTTGGAGGTTACAAGGTACAAACGGGCTGCCTGGATGTGTGAGGGGGGGAGGTTTTCAACCTTTTGGGGCCGTTTTCTCCTCCTTCTTCAGCCACACTCCAGCTCCTGGGACAACACGGAGGCAGGACTGACCCTCGGCTTGCAAGGCTCTCGTGTGTGGGGCACGCTGAAGGGAGCAGGGATTCAGACTGAACGGTGGCATCTACATCGGGTTCCCGCCTGGGAGATATGTGGAGGTATCGGGGTGTCACAGGGCCTAGGCCCCATAGTGCTCTGGGTGGCATGAGTGACTACATATCCTGCAGTGGGAGGGGCAGTCTCCCACAAAGGAAGGGCCCACGGCCAGGACCGGATCTATTGAGAAACAGGTGGAACCATCTTTACCTCTCACATCTGTGTTCCAGAAAGTTCCTTGGCTAGGAACCAGCACTGGATCCCACCTTAATCCTGATTCTGTGAACAATGCCCAGAATTTTCCAGAATGTTCTATGGCTAGGAAGTAGTACTGGATCCTGCCTCAATCCTGGCCCAGTGAATATTCCCCAGAATGTTCCAGAAAGTTCCTTGGCTAGGAACCAGCATGGGATCTCACCATAATCCGCTGAACATTCCCCATTGTCCTCCACAGAGTCACTGTCCTCCAGTCACCAAGGTGGAAGCCTCCATGTAATTCCAGCCCACATCAGGGAAGTGGATGAACATTACAACCAGTGACAAATCTTTCTTCTTGGGGCCCATGGTCTTGTTGGTTTCATGTTGTTCCCCGTCAGGAGAGTGAGCTTCCTAATGCGTGCATGTGGGCTGCTCCTCAGATCTAAACGCTGGGATGGTCCTCTTCCAAATGCCACTCCTAGGTCCCAGAGCGAGATCTGAGGTCCTTTTTCCCTGGCTCCTCCCAAAGTCACAGGAAGACTCGCTTTTCCAGCCATGCTGGACTTCGGGTGCTCGGTAGATCTTGTCCATGTCCTGACCTGTTCCACATGCAGCCCCACTGGGAGCAGCTCTCGTTGTCCATTTCCTGGAGGGAAACCCTGCAGGTCCTGCCATTGGCGTCGGGTGAGTTTATCCCACCACTGGCCTCCGTCCGGCAGGGAGGGTCTGAGGAGCAGTGTCCACATCACCTGGCAAAGTGGAGGAGCCTGACTGGCTGACTCACTTCAAGAGGGTAGAGAGTAACCCAGGGGCAGGGTGTACACCACCCTGAAGTGGATTCCATGGGGAACCTGACCGAAAGACCTGTTGGGCTTTGTGGGGATCTGAAGACCGCAGATACATTGCTGGCCTCTGGACAGGAAGGGTCCTACCAAAGTGGCAGTGTCACCTGCACGATCTCCCACCTCATCCCACAGTGCTGGGTGGGGCAGGGCAGCTGGCTCCTTGTGTTGCCCAATGTGGGTCCACACTGGACAGAGACGAAGCTGGGTCCTGGTGCGCTGACCCTATGCACACTGTGTGGTCACTGAGGGCTGCGATGTCCATGCTTCTGCCCAGAGTCACCCATCCCAGGTGCCCTGAAATATCCCCAGTGGCACCAGCACAAGGGTGGTAGGGGTGAGGTCACAGCACGGCCCGTAACCATGCAGCTGTGTGCTACCCCAGAGTGTGCCCTAGGCATGGGATGGGCACCACAGGGTTCTCTCCTCTCCCAGGCAGAGTCCCAGCCAGGGCCAAGGAACTCCCAGCCACACAGCAGAGCCGGGACCACCTGGCAGGTGCCAGACACACACACCTGCACACACCTACACACTGTGTAAACACACACACGCAAATACAGGTAAGCCACAGAGTCAGGGCCTACACTACTGCAGTGCTCTCGGACTCACAGCCCCATGTGCACACATCTACATGCACACACACACACACACACACATCTATGTCTACACACCTATATGGACACAGCTTCACATGCACCCTTGTGTACACACACCTGAACCTCCCCTTATGTATATGTACTTACATGCACACGCACACACACCCCTATGGCTACACACCTATATACACATACCTACACATGCACCCTGGTGTACATGTACCTACACCCCCTATGTATATGTACTTACATGCACACACCTACACATATACACTCATGCACACAACTCATCTCTCACAGAGCTAGGGCGGTGCTCCCACATGCACATGTCTATGTACACACACCTACACACACCTATGTATATACCCTTCTATGTACACACCTACATACACCCCTACACATACAGACCCACACAAGCACACATATTCACACACACCTTTATGTGTGCACAGTCTTACATGCACAGAGGCACATACACATTCCTATATACAAGTACACACTACACATACGTACTTACATGGATACCTGCATATACACAGATACACACCTATACACAAGTACATGCATATAGCCACTGCACACGCACATAAACACATACATACGTGTATCACACATATACAGAAACACATATCCCCCACATACCCATCCCACACGCACACAGAAACCCACATCCGTGTCCGTGTTCCCCACGGAGCCTCCTGGAGCCTCGGCCACCTGCTCCTGTCCCACGATAACTCTGGGTGACTGAGTTGCCTCTTCCAAGGTTTTGAGCCCAGCACTGCTGGGTGGTGGGTGCCCATCTTCGCGGCTCCACCTTCTCCACCGACCAGCAAGGTGGGGGCATGCACACCCCAGAGGGAATGGGCGAGGCAGCTTCAGGTTCCCCTGAAGCAGGAAGAAGCACACCTGTCCCGACCAGCCTCGGGGGCCTACGGAGGGTACCCAGCGTGGGAAATCGGCTTCCGTAATGCTGTTCCCGCACCAGCAAGGGACACTTGGGAAATACCTGCGGCGGTGGACTCGCTGCCCTCACAAGCTAGTTAAGACAGAGATAGTGAACTGCAAGTTGGATGACAAGGGATTTTAAAAATTCACCTCATCCAAACCGCTGCAGAACTCTGCAGGCAGCCAAGGAGCTAAAAAGGAAATGGTGATCTAGATTCCCAAGGCCACGCTTTTAGTGATTCCTCAAAGAAGAACAAAAACAAAACCCGAAGGCCAAGCCACCAGCCACTTGAAGTTGGGCAAACAGCTCTCTGCCACAGCCTCTTCTGCCTTTGAACACATTGAGCTCCTGCAGCCACGCTCAGATGCTGGAGATAATGTTTCTCCCGAGCTGACTATCGGCTCGGGAGCGATGCGCTGCACAGATAAAGCGACTTCCCCTTGCTGCTGATTAGATAAACAGGCTCACATCCGCACTCCACCCGGCGGCCGGCCTCCAGAGCCCGGCACCTCCATCCCAACAGGCTCCCCAGCTCTCCTGACACACAAGCGTCCCAGACACCTGTCCTCGCCTCCGCCCACAACTTGAAAATCAAGGGGCATTTGGGGGCAACCCATTCAAACCACTCCAACCCTCTTAGGACACCCAGCTCTGCCCCGAAGTTCACGGCCGAGTCAAGGACTGTTTTGTTCCTTCATCGCATCATCACAAAACCAAGATTTTTGTTCTTGCTGCCTTCATCATTTATCTAGAACTTTTTTTTACTTTGCCAGCGTGAGAGCAAACCCTGGTCAAAGCACTCGACGGGATGGACCAAGGTTGTGCTAGGTCAGCCGCTGCTGCTCAGAGCCCCAGTCCCGAAACACCAGGCTGAGATGTGACTCACAGTGCTCAGGTCCTGAGAGAAGCCACCGACCACGTGACCAAACGGGCTCTCCCCTCCCAGTGGTGGGTGGGCCCTCAGGCCAGCAGGACCAGGGATGCTCATATGGGCGTGGCGGGCACAGACAGAAACACACTCTCTTTCCACCCCAAACCTGCACTTTCCTCCACCTAGGATCACCTCCTACCAAGTATATCTGAGACAGGGTCTTGTGATGTAAGCAAGGCTGACTTTGAACTCCTGGTGATCCTCCTGCCTCAGCTTCCTGCCCAGTGGGATTATGTGCTTGTACCACCATGGCTGGCTTCCTGTGCAAGTCTTTAGCAAGCCCTGCCCAACCTGAAGTGGGCTCAGTTCCTTAGCTGATTCACCCCCAAATCACCAGTACAATGCTTCTCCCCCAATTTTCCCTCAGAGTCTGAACTCTAAATCCCCCTGTGCTGGGTGCGGGCATGGTCACCTCTTGCACTCGGCCTCCAATCTTCCTTCTCTGTCGTCTACCTTTTGGGCTTCCCTGTCACCATCTCGGGGCAGAGGCTGGGGTCCTCCTCGTCATGGCCAGCCCTGTCCACAGCCCGGGTGGGAGGGACCCCAGTCCCTGTGCCTGTCTGTTCTGGGACACGGGAATGCGGGTGAGGACAGAGAAGCAAGGACAGGCATGGAGCCCGGACACTGAACGGAAGAGGTGGCGGAAGTACTGCTGGGGGAAGAAGGTAACACGTGGCTAGGTGGTTGTTTGTTCACAGCACTGGGGGTGGAACCCAGGGCCTCCGCAATGAGCTGCACCCCAGTCCTTTCTGTACTTTGTGTTTTGAAGCAGGATCTCACTACATCATTAAGGCTGGCCCTGGACTTGCACTCCTCCTGCTGCCTCAGCCTCCCCAGTGTTGGTTTCACAGGAATGCACCACCACACCTGGCTTGTTAGGTTTTAATAAATACTCCCATCTGCTCCTTAGATGCCAATCCTGACTTAACTCCTCACAGAAAGACTTTGAGGAGCACTCGGCCAACAGGGTCTCCATCCCTGCTTCTCTTGTGCATGTGTGCTGGTGGGGGTCATGGGCCAGCGCTTCTGTCATGACCACTTCACAGCAGCAAGCTAGAGCCCCCCTAAGGAGACCCTGGTGATGACCACATCTCTCCTTGCCGGGAAGTTCTCTTTTGAGTCTAACCTAAGTCCTTCCAGCTGCACTCTGCTTCCTTTGTTTCCTCTTATTTTGGCCCGGAAGGAAATGGGGCCCTTGTTCCGCCTCCTGGCTGTCACTGGATTCCCTGTGTTTAAGGAGAGACCTCCAGCATCCTCTTACACTGGACACAGTATGGACATGTTCCTTCTCCTGGGAACCACCCACCACCGTCTGCTCGTCCGCTTGAGATGAGATTCTTCTGAATCTGAATGACGCTTCTGGCGATCGCGTCTCACAGCGGTTCAGAAGCTGTGTCTCTGTTTCCCCGCCATCTTCCAGTGACCAAATCTCCCGTCCTTGTCTCCCTCCACTCTCCCTGAAGTGCCCGAAGGAAGCCTCCTCCCCAGACTTAAACCTGAACCCAACTGTGCCCATCGGCTGCCCCATCTCTCCTTGATTCTCGCTCCAGTCTCCCTGATTCCTCTCATCTCCTCCAGCTCTTCCCAGGTTGATTGTTTTATGGATGTTCAATAAATTCCCCCTTTCCAGTTCTCACAGCTGTGAAGTATGCCTGTCTTTCTGTTTTCTCAGCTGGAGCAGCAACAGCTTCCTGTAGCCTTCTGGTCTACCTGTAAAACTTGCATGTCGTACAAGCGGTATTCTTTTTCTGTGCTTTTTCTCTCTTTGCTAGCTGTCCAGCGCGGGATTCTACATTCCCCCATCCAACCTACAAAGTCATCCTGGGACACAGGCTTGGCTGTCCCCGCCCCTTCGTGTTGCCAGGACACCGATTCTCCGGCAGGCAAAGCTCTGGCCGAGGCCCAAGGTCGGGGCAGGGGTCTTGGCCCAGGCCCACCTCACATGCCTCCAGCAGCCCTGGCAGCTCAGCGCCACCACCCCCCATCTCATCTCACAGGCTCCCCTCCTCCTCGGCCTCACACTTCTGCTGGGGAGGGGCTGGAGCCTCTGCCATCTCTCCTTTCACTCCTGCCCCTGGGACCTACTGCGGGACACTTCGATGCAGCACAGCATCACAGTTATTTGCTTTAATCCACGAGTGCTCCTTACGTGTTATTTTATTTTCCCAGGGCTGGGGGTTGAACCCAGGGCCTCACACATGCTAGGCAAGCACTCTACCACCGGGCCACACTTCCTCCCTTGTGTGAAGACAGCTGCCTACTGTCATCCACATGCTGGTTAGCTCCTGCTACATGCTGTCAGTTACTTTAACAAACCACCTAAAAGCTTGAGGATTTTCCTCACGAACTACAGCGGACAGCTTGGCTTCTCCAACTGTTGCGGGGTCGGGTCCCCTGGGGTCCTCACTGTCACTGCTAACTTCCTCTCCCCACCACTCCTGTCTAGTTCTTGATTTGTCACCTATCTTTCATATCATTTGTATGCCTGGCCCAGGGCAATTGTGCCTTTGATCTCCAGCCTCCTGCAACAGCCTCATCCTTCCCAGGGTTCCGGGGCCCGCTTCACCCTCCCCACCCATCCTGGGGCCAGGACAACTGCCATCACCAAAGCAAGCGAAAAGACTGCTTTTAATTCCCCCAGTTCTGAATTTCCTGCTGTCTGGACTTGACCTGGACTTGACCCGAAAAGGACAAGTGGGCTGAACATCTGGTCACACACGTAAGGGACAGGAAGAAGCACCCCCAGGAAATGGCCAAGGGACCCCCTCTGCAGGGCAAGGAGATGCGTCCCAGGGCCCAGCCAGTGGCCTGGCAAGGTGGTAAGTCTCCCGCGAGGCAGTGAGGGCATTTTGCCGGTGCTTACGACAAAGACGGATTCAGACCAAGGCCCCGCACCTCTTTTCTCTCTACTCTCCCGGAATCAGCCTAACTTTCAGTTCCCCAAAGGATGCCGCGCCGTGGGGTGCTGGGAGGCTCCATGCGCTGGGATTTCAGGGCCGGGCTGCACCTTCCCTGTCCCATGGGCAGTCCGGCTCCGGGACACGACATGGCCAGTGGGTGACCCCTCTGGGCTCCTGGCCTGGGCCCTGCTTCCCCCGCAAACAGCTCGGGCTCGCTGTGGTCTGCTGTCTGCGTTCGGTGGGGAACACAGCGCCCACCGCCCTGGGTGCTCAGGCACCATGCAGATCTGGTAACCCGGCACCCCATTAGCTAGCCAAGTGCCACTCACACAGACCCACAGAGTGTGCGCACCCTCCGGCTCCACGGTTTTACTACGTGGACCCTGTCATTCATGCAGATGACTCTCCAAAGGAGCCTCTCACAGTGCGGGCTGTGGCAATACCAGGGCCGCTTAGCAGCAAACAGGAGGCCATTTTAAAAACAAGCACAACCACGACAGCGGAGCCCGTCATCTGTGTCACCTGAGTCCCGACACAGGGATCCCTGATGTGATGCAGGTGGCTGTCCTGCACAGGACAGAGGGACGGGTCCGGGGCTCTTTCCCCACAAACAGCAGCCGCTTCTCTCCAGGGACAAAGAATTCATGGTGTTCTGAGGCCCATCCACTCCAACTGGCATTAGGCAGTCTCCACTGCACAGCTAAATTTTTCAAAATCACTGCATCTGAAGTGAACTTTGTTTCTAGCACATGGAAACCCGCGCAAGGTGTGTTGTCAGCAAGCCGAGACATCCTAAACACACAGTGGCGTGAGCAATGCTGTCCTGCCCACCCTGCCCCTTCTGCTGCGGGGTCCATGTGTCCTTCGTGATGGCCTCTGGCCACCGTGGCACCACTGCTCTTGCTAGCACTGCTTTATCCAGGTGCCCACGACTCAGTGGCTTACAAACACGGCACAGTGGAGTAAAAACTGGGTTTGGAGTCGGAAACTGAGCTTAATTCTGACTCTACCATGCGATCCTGGTGAAGCCACTGAATTTCTCTGGGCTTCTACTCTCTTGTAATGAAAAGGAAGGCAAAGCTTTCTATGCACGACCCCTGCAGCTTTGGGTGTGGGGTACCGGGTGGTGGTGACGCAGAGGAGAGAGGTAAGTGTCCCTGACGCAGGTAGCCCGGGCTGTGCTTCAACGGCTGCATTCCCATTTGGGACCTCATCTTCCCAGTGAGTGCGTCCATGTGAGAAGTGGGATGAACTGGCCGGCATGGTGGTGCACGCCTGTAACCCCAGCACTTCCCCAGGTCCTGCCCTGCCGGGAAGCTTAGGGAGACCCTGCCTCCAAAACAAGTAAGCAACAAAGCAGGGGCTGGGGATGTGGCCCAGTGCAAAGGCCCTGGGTTCAATCCCAAGTACTGGAATAAAAAAGAGCTCTTTTTAAAGCAAAGCTCTAGAGAAAAGCAGCGCTGCTGGCATTCCATATAAAATGTGTGCTGGTCACCATCTGCATCCATGAAGAATGGTCATCCTCAGGAGCAGGGGCAGTGGGGGAGGGGGGAGTGATGGAACAGCGCCCCCTCAGCAGCATGGTCTTCACCCCTGCCGCTGGCTGGCATGGGGGCGTGCACATGCCACACTGGCTCTTAAGTATTCCTCTTTTTCTGATGGTACTAGGGATTGAATTCAGGGAGCACTAAGCTATATCTCCATCCCTTTTTATTTTATTTTATTTGAGACAGGCCCTGGCTAAGTTTCCCAGACTGGCCTTGAACTTGTGACCCTCCTGCCTCAGCCTCTTGGGTGGGTGGGATTACAGTCATGTGTCACTACCTCAAGCCTTCCCCCTCCATCTCTGGTCTCTATTTCCTTGACATGAAGGAGAGCAGCAGATACACATACTCGTTCGGTACCCACTATCTGGCAAAGACAAAGGGACACAGAGGTCTCAAAGGAGCGGAACCGAGGGATCACAGGGGACGCCACTTACCCACTCCTCTGTCACCCTTGGAGTTCTGTTGTCCCCCAGAGCTGGTGGAAAGGTCCTCGGGGACAGGCATGGGCTCATCGCCATCATCTGGAGTGTCGCTGATGGGAGGACTGTCCTTCCCTGAGGAGACAAGCAGGACTTGAGCGACAGCTGCCACTGTTCCCCACGGGGAAGCCCGCGGTCCGGGCCGCGCGGTGCTGGCCCGACAGGCTGCACAGGGGGGCGGCAACTGGCCCGAGGCGAGGTTTCTCGGTGGACAGGAGCACTCGTTTTCCTTCCTGTAACAGATTATCAGTGGCCCCTTCTGACCACCAAACAAACGGGGAAGAACACCGATGTGCAGAAGGAGAGAAGGCGAAAATCTCCTGCAACCCCAGACTGCAGGGCCAGACTCACAGGTGTGTGTGCACACACTCGTGCTGTGGGCAGCATGCAGGGCTCCCTTTAGTTCTTGCATTAGTTTTCAGACATTTGCACACACACTCCCGTGCCAGGAGCATACTTCCACAATTCTATTTACGGGGGGGAACACAAAGCCATTTAAATCCTTCTTACGCTTTTGAACCCGCATTGCTTTCTCTCTTCTGATGTGTTTTTTTTTTTTTGGTTTTTCTCCGGTACTGGGAACCGAACTCACGACCTTGCGCTTGCCAGGCAGGCGCTTTGCCGCTGAGCTAAATCCCCAGCCCCCCTCTCTTCTGATGATTAAACCGCACCGTAAGGAGCACCCTGCCAGCTAATCTCACATATCCTCAGGGATCCCTTGCCCAAACCTCCCAAGATTCCCCAGGGCATGTACATGTTTAAGGCTCTTCCTGTTTTAGTAAACGTTTCCCCGAAAGTGGGTTCCCATTTACTCTGCACAAGTCTTCCTCAGACACTCTTGTGTTGATTTGTTTTCGCACACAGGACTGATCTGCCCACTTCTTTTCGGGAGACAGGGACTCCTCTGCCAGCTGCCCACTTTGATTTATCCTGGCAGGGAGCAGGGTTCCCCATGGGGGGAAGGTATTCCCTGCCTACATGCAGAGAAAGTCCATCAACAGGACTTTTCCCTGAAACAAGAATAAAACACAATCCACATGGCAGTTGCTTGTCCTTCAAAATATGAGATTTGCAGAAGAAAATGGGGTTCTATCGGATGCCATCTTTATTATGGCTGGAGTGGAATTAAGTCTGGCTGGAGTCTTTGGGAACGGGGACTCTCCCACACACCCGGATCCAGTGTTGGGAAGACCTACTGGCAGAAAGTGCTCCCTTCCGCAGAAGCTGAAACTCTCGCAGCTTCTGTCCCTGCAGAGCTAACCTGAGTTATGGGGCACAAAGCACCTGCAGGACGGAGATGGTGAGAATCGAGGCTCATGTAGACCCGCTCATTACTGCTGTTTGTGGAAGTCCAGCTGGGACCAACATCCTGACAGAAACCCAAAGAGCAGTAACAGACAGGCAACGTGATCTTCCCAGACAGACAGACCCAGGCTTGGAAACGTATACGGGGCAAAGAAAATGTTCAAATGTCCAGAAAACAGCATAAGGTATGGCGTGGAATTTCTTTGTTGGTTTGAATAGACTTTCGAGAATGACACCAACATCTTAGAGGGCTGGCAAGACCAGTAAAATCATTCCCAGTATGTGAAACAGGCTTTACTGGAACCTTTAAAATAGAAGTTACCCCGGCACCAAGGATATGCTTTGGGGAATAGTATTGCTTTCACTAGGATCAGACATCACAATTTAATATTCCAACTTAGCTGTAATTAGTGCAACTGGCATATTTTCAGAGAGAGCATTATTGGGTATATTTGGATAGCCAATGCAAGATGAATAGTTAAAGACAGGGCAGGATTATAAAAATTTCCCAAGGAAAAACAAAAGGCCAGAGAGAAATTGATTGAAAGTGCTCAAGTTACGCTAAAACCTTGGAAATGTCATTAAGTCAGTATGGTATTCATTGCCCTAAATAGAAGACCTTCGAAGCAACAGCATCTCAGTATTTTAGGGTTATTTCCCACGTCTTCCATAAGCGGGGAAAACACCTGGGTGGGTTTCTCCAGCGGACAGACAATCTGGAGGTCTGTGAGGTGTGATCAAAATATATGGTGAATGTTTAAACTAAAAAAAATGTTTATTACAGTAAAAGATATGCTGCCATGAATCCCCCTGAAAACTCCTCCTTGCTTCAAGCACACTCATCCCATCATTCTTGTCACTTTTTAAAGCAGACATGGAGTCCTCTCCCGTTAAAGTCTTCAGAAAGTGTGACCAAAAATATGGGGAATGCCGCTGCTAAGCACCGTCCGACAGGAAGTCAGGCTCACAGAAACAGGACGCGGTGTCCTCATCCACCTTGTTCACTGGCTCTGACAGCATGAGGCTCTGGCTCCTCCCCAAGTCACAATGACCATGAAAGGGAAACGTTCTGAATCCATTCAGGACATCGAGGCAGCCAGGACAGTGCAAGTAGACTTTTAGGAAAGAGGTCTCCAGAGCTGCTGCAGAAAGTGGCAAGAATGATGGGATGAGTGTGCTTGAAGGGAGGGGGAGGATCTTCAGGGGGGTTCTTGGCAATATGTCTTTTACTCTAATATATTTTCAAAATTTTAATAAACATCAAGGTTTTCAATCACACCTTGTAGGAACATGTGATAACTCTGATTTCGTATGACTGCCTAGAATAACTAGATGGCCCAGGGATTTTTTTGTAAGAGTAGCACAGTACTCTTACACAGAACTTTCACATATAGAACAGATCTCCTATGTAAAATGTGGACACTGAGGAAGAGGAGGCCCAGGCCTCCCACCTTCTCAAAGATCCACAGGGCGACAGCAGAGGGTCTGGGCACCGATTGGCTTGACTGTACCAGGACGGACCTGCGTCTGTGACCGAGGACTGTGTTACAGTGGAGTGGCATGGCAGAGTGGAGAAGGGAGCTTTTGGACTTGTGTTTGTATGATGATCTTCCCCCAGCTTTGGAGTCTGTGACCCCTGGGGCTGTGCGGTGCAGGGCGTATGAGAGAAAGGGGGACCAGGAAGGGACAGCGCGGAGCCAGTGGGGAAATGCACGCTTCGGGCTCAGTCCACGCGAAAAGGCATCAGGTAAGTCTCAACTGCCTTTTTCAATTTCTTTTAACTGATTCACTTACTGGGGAGTAACACCAAGCACAGGCTGGGGAGGCTGTTCCCACAACAGATGTGTTTTGGAAAGACTACGTCTGTCTAACGGCTGCACGAACTCTAGCTCTCCACCATCCCCGTCTTGCATCTTGGCCTGTGCTGGGCTGTGCTACGCTTTGCTTTCTCCCACATGAGGGGAGGAGGAGTGACAAACGCAGTAGGACCCTGGTTCTAAAGTACCGTGAGTCAGGTGGATCGATTGAAACTCTCCCTGCAGAGAAGACCGCAGGGGAGGAGCAGGGATAAAACGTCAGTCTCAGTGGGCACCAGGCACGGAGTAGAAATCGGAATCGGAAAGAGCAGAGCTGGGGGAACTCATGGGCCCTCTGAGAGCTTGGGTTAATTCAGCCGGCCTCACCCTGCTCAGGGATGCTTCTTAAGAGCTCATCTGATTTGCCTAAAAGCCCCGGGTTGAGTCGTGGCTGAGCCTCCGTGTCCAGGAACCCTGTACTCTTCTCGGGAAAATGTCCACCAAACCCTCCAGGAATGGCGGGAGGTGGACCTGGACCTGGGGACTGGCAACACGAGTGCTTGGCTCACCACTCGGAATCATGCTGAGGTGAGGACATATTTAAAAACGGAGTCAAGCAAGTCTCTTCATCCCCAGCGTGACTGACGGAGGGCCCATGATTTGAGACACAGTTCTGGTTTGACCACACGTCAGACTGATGGGAATGTGATGCAGGTTGTGTCTTTAAAATCGTCCTCGGTGCATAGAGGGAGGCTGCACACCCTCATTCTGGCCTGGTTCATAGGGTTGTGGAGATGAGAACAATAAACAGTGACAATGAACAATGACAGAAATAACGTGTGGAGTCTTCCACCCCAGCAAGCTGATAGTGCGGTTCAGCAGCCTGTAATGTCCTCCAGAAACACGAGGCTTGTGTGGTAGCAAGTTCCCACCTTGTCCCAAGGTCCCACCTCAGCAAGGCAGCCAGTGTTTAAACAGAATGATTTAGAAGATACAGCACAATTCCACTTATTCAGAGAAATGAACGAAACTTCTGGGTAAATTACCAATATGCTAATTTAAATGGAATTTACCTCTTGCCTATGTTTCGAATGAAGCACTGCTGGAAGGAAGCTTCTGTGAGCAGGTTGATGAGACGGTGTGTCAGCAGCTTAATCACATGCAAAATATCCCTCAAGTAGATCCTAACTCTCTCACTAACATCCTGGGATCCCCCTCTCCCAAATGCCCGAGTTTCCAACATCTACTGTCATCCGTGGGAACACAGTCCCTGGGTAAAGTGAAGCTCAGGACATAGAACTTCTGTTCTATAGAAGAGTTGAGCCATTTGCACCCTGGGGAGCTAACAGGACCTGCACCCCTGTGCTGCCTCTGCCTCCCTATGGGACTGGGTGTCAGTCACTTAGCTCAGCTCCCCACAGTTTGGAGGTGTCCGCTGTATCCTTTTCAATGGATCCTTATTGGGAGAAAATGAAATTGTTAGGGTAGTGTTTTGTTAATAAAGTATTCAATCAATGTGACTTGCTATGACTAACTAGGTAAGATATTTCCATTGCTACTTCGGTACATATGAACCACCTCTCCCTGAGCAGACTAGGCATGTCCAAAAGGCAGAAGGATCCCAAGTTCCAGCCCAGGCTTAGAGGTCACCTGGCCAATGCTACTCTGATCCAGATATTATAGTGGTCCAGGAGACAAAGGTTAGTTTGCAGGGCTGAAGGCGCAGGCAGACGCTGAGACAGGCAGGTCTCTCAACTCCTCCCTCCCTCCCTCGGCCACTCACAGACTCTCCCCAGAGCTCAAACCAGACACTACTGCAGGTGCTTAGCAAGTATTTGGGAAAAAAGAAATGAGTGAAAAGCTTTGCCCAAAGAACAGGTGAGCTGTGCTCCGAAGGAAGGGAAAGCTGGCTTCAGATGTCTCTCCTCTACGCCTACTGACATTTCCCAATCCCTCATGTCTGTGAGGCTGAGCTGGAACATAGTTCACCCCTGGGATGAGTCCCAGGGTCCCAAGAGCCAGGAGGCTCCCCAAAGGGCAAGATATTAAGTATTTCTTTGTTTTTTTAAATGTATTTCTTATTTATTAGGGGAGTCCTATAAAACTGCCTGTATTTATCAACATTGTATTTAAAAAAGATTATTCTGGGGGCTGGGGATTTAGCTCAGCGGCAAAAGCGCCTGCCTGGCAAGCGCAAGGTCATGAGTTTGGTTCCCGGTACCGGAGAAAAACCAAAAAAA